GCAACTGATAGAAATACCATGGAGGAAAAAGTTTGGAAGTGTGATGTATTTGATCAAGATGATGATGCGGAATGGCGGAAAATAGCAGAAAAATCTGCATCAGAGGAAGAGTATTTGGAAGAAGAGCTACTGATCAAAGAGACGGGCTGCAACGATCCTGTTGCATTACATAAATTATTCTTCACGGATGAGATATTGGAGATTATCATTGAAGAGACGAATAGGTACGCTGAACAGTGCATAGTGAATGTGGCATGTGGCAGGAGACGACATCAACAAGCATGGAACTCCGTTACAAAAAGTGAATTGAATACCTTTACTGGTATTTTGCTTATTGTGGATGTAGTGCAGGTACCCGAAATTCAACTATCTTGGTCCAAAAAGGGGAAGTATGCGAATGCGCATATACAGAAAGCAATGAAACGTGAATGATTCTTAGCAATATTGAAATACTTGCACTTTTCCGATAATGAAACAGCTAGAACCGAGGATTGGTTACATAAACTCCGAAATGTAGTAGATAAAATTCTTCGTACATTCAAAGATGCAGTAAAACCCGGTAAAAATATAGTAATTGACGAAAGCATGGTTCCGTGGAAAGGACACCTTAGTTTTCGTCAATATATAGCAGAGAAGCAGCACAAGTACGAAATAAAACAGTACATACTCTGCTTTCTGATATACATACAATATGCATATTTATTCCCAAAAAAATGAAACGAGAACTGTAAAAACACATTCTCATGATGTAGTTCATGAAATTGATAGGAGATCTATTATTCAAGGGCCAGATTTTATTTACCGACAGTTTTTATACAAGTATTCCTTTAGCCGAAGATCTTCTCACTAAAAGAACATATATTTGCAGTACAGTCAAAATGAATAGAAAATTTCTACTGCCGCAGGTAAAGCAAAAACAGAAACGGGGCGACATTATACCTCTTGAAAAAGACACCTGTGCATGTTAACCACTTCGAGATCTCACAATTGCACCATTATTCGTGGAAAAGATGATAAATTAACCCTTTAACTATCAAGTTATTTTAATGATTTGTGTACACAAATTGTCAATACGTAATACATTTCCCAATTACATACAAATGTAATATGTTTCCCAATTACATTTTTATAGAGCAAATATGAGTTCCAGAGTAACTTGTCTAATAAATGTAAAAATATCTTTTTATAATACTTTTTGTGACATTTTCGGATTGTTGGATGAAAGGATATTTCCCGATCACAGCGATCTACACCACCCATAGTTAGATTGTAGTCAGAAACAATCTTCGACTTGAGTATATCTTCATTTTTTTTTTTTTTTATTATTTTTGAGGCTGACCATGGAAGTATCATGAATACTGCTCATCAAACACACATCCTTCTTACCTTTCCACCTTATAGCCAAAATCTTACCTCTTTAAAAAGCTATGATTTGACCTTTTTGTAATTTTCTTTTAGCGAATTCTGTAGGTAAATCTCGTCTGTTTATCCTTACTGTGCCATAAATATCTGTTTTTTGGGCTATAAATAAATCTGCAAGCTCGGGTGACATGTAATAGTTATCTACAGTCACACAATAACCATTTCCAAGAAAGCGAGACAATAGGTGCATGACGACTTTTGTAGAAAGTCCATAATTTGTATACAATTGATATAAGACAGTACTATTTCCTGTATAGATAATGAAGTCACAAATATACCCTGTTTCTGCCTCACAAAGCATAAAAAAAAAATTGATTCCAAATCGTGCACGTTTGATAGGAATATATTGTTTTCAAGATAACCTTCCTTTATAAGGCATCAAGCTTTCATCAACTTTCATAACCTTTTCTTCTTTTCTTTCAGCTTCATTATTGCAAAAATGTAAATATCGAAAAAGCAAAATAAAACGATTTACGGGCATTACTTTTGAGTAAACTGGAGTATGCAAAATTCTTCAATGACACCAGTACATAGCCTGATTTGGTTTTTGGACAATACCTTGAAGAATTATTAGCCCAAAGAATGGCTTCATTTCTCTGTCATTTGTAGGGATCCATTTTTAGTGTGGGAACACCTTGATATCTTTGCCCGATTTGCTTTTCTTTCTTGTTCTCCATAGTTGTTCATTTCTTTGACAATTATATTCATTAGATTTGAATACAGAAACATTTCTAGAATATCTAAAGGAGTGTAGTTAATGTTTACAGGAAAAGTTACACCTGGAATACCTGTAAAAGGGAACTGCAGGGGCCCTGATCGGCCAGAAGCAGTTATTTCACACTAGTCTCTCACATTTCCTATAACATCATCACCGCTATCCGTTGATTCACTGCTACTTTCAATGTCACTCTCTCCAGTTTCACTTGCGTCACTAGTATCGATGCTTTCAAAATCTTCATCTTCGGTTGAAGAATCTAAATTATCTATATATCGTTTCAAAGAACTGGACGCCATTTTACAACAAAAAGATACAGGGCACTTTGAACCAAGGAACTTCTAACCTCTAACCTTTGAAATCTTCAGTAAAGTGCTGCCATCTATTGAATTGAGCGCACATTAACTTTTCACGAGATACAGTCAGGTTTGACAAAGAGATGAAGCCGAAATAAACATCTCCCGATATATATTCGGGTATAACAATACGATGCACTCAAAAAAAAATTACCCCGAGTAATACTTGGGTGTGACATTTTCGAACACCAGTGCTGTCCCGAGATTATCTCGGGCATGACAGTTAAAAGGTTAAAACCAGATACCGTTTTTTTCTTACAATAGTGTGAAAAAGGGAGTTGATATATCTGACCAAATGTGTTCCTATTATAAATAATTACGGAAAACGGTAAAATGGTATCAAAAAGTTGTCATAAAGCTAATATGTGGGACCTCTTTAAAAAACGTGTGGTACATCCACAAAAAGTGGGGAACCAAGCGTTACCAAATTTTAAAATTTAGAGAAAACTTTATTGATTATCTATTAAAGAGTGTTGAGAATTCGCCCTAGTGAAGAATTAATAGTAATTAGATGGAAAAACATTTTTTAAGTTCACACCAAAGATCTGTGAGGAAGATGAGGAAAAGATGTAAAGAGTGTTAAAAACGCTTAACAAACTTAAAAGATACACAGTACACCACAAACAAAACAAAAAAGTAAAGACCTTTTGTAGCAGTTGTCCGGATAAGCTGGCACTTTGTTTTAAAATGTTTTTAAAAATTGCATCGGTAGAATAAGTAGTTATATTTAATGTATTGATTAAATTATAAGTTATGTATTTTGTGTTAAATGTTTGATTATAAGGTAGAAATGTTAATGTATAATGTTAAAATGAATAAAATTACATTTTGTACTACGTATTTTTTGATATACAAACGTGGCCCATCGGTGATGCATGCCGCCCCACGGAACAATCTAGCGTGGGCCACCGGTGGGTCAGGCCACCCCATGAAACAGACAAGCATGGGCCACCGGTGTGTCAGGCCGGCATCTACCTGTTAAACTGCAAAGCAGATTGCATGATGGATACTGATGAGGTCTTTGATGTGAGGGATAATGTGAAGAAGCTTTTGGTTGAAACCATGGCAATTCCAAGAGATTATAATAGACGACTCCTTATTTTGCATGTGCTGCTTCACTGTTAAGCATGGGAAGAAGTGTCTCAGAATTTTGAGTCAATCTCGGAATGTATGGCCTCCAAGCATATGCTTTTGGTAGAATTAATGTTCTGTTTTCTGTTTTGGGAACTTCTAGTGAATCTCAGAATGTATAGCCTCTAATCTTATGCTTTCAGTAAAGTTAATGTTCTGGTTTCTCGGCATTTTAACGGGTTTCTGTTGTAATATTTTCATATTTTTTTCTTTTGGTTGATCTTGTGTATGTTTTTGAATGATGATAATTTTTTGTAGTTCTATAGAAAGAAATTTTCTTTTGTAGACTTGTGTCTACCGAATCCTTATTTAATCCTTATAGGTTTGGTTTGTTCTGGTATTTAAAATCTCCAAGTCCAAGTTTGATCTTCTGAATGGAGACTTTCTTCAAGGCACTCTTTGTCTTTTGAAAGATTTCCCAAGTTCGATCTTCTGAATGGAGACTTTCTTCAAGGCACTCTTTGTCTTTTGAAAGATTTAAGTTATTTGCTGAAAGGGTTTTGAAAGTTGAGAAAAACAAGAATAAATGTGTTGAAAAAGCATTCTTTTTACTCACACAAACGTTTTTATTCACACAAATTGTAGAAAAGAAAAGGATGGATCTGTCAGATTTTTTTAGAAAAAAGTTACAAAACATTCCTGCTTTCTGCATAATGCCAACAGTGTATCAAGAGAACTCTGATTAACAGAAAATTACACCTTCTTTTTTCACTTAGACTTTAAACAAAAGTTAAATTTGTCAATCATTTTTACGTCCTTTTTAGTATTTTTAAATTTTATGGATAAAATTGTTACTCATAATTATGAGGGCACCTACTCTTCTCTTAAAAAACATATTAGAGGGATCGATGTATTTTGAGGAAAGGGTCTTAGTCTTACAGTGTTAATCAGTTTCAGTTGTTGATTTAATTCAGCAGTTAATTTTCACACTTTTTTGTGATAGAATTTATTTCTCTTGTCAGATCAGGTATCATGGACATTTGGATCTAGCAAATCAGATCTTCAGTCCCAAATTTGTTGAGATGAGGTTTAAGTGTAAAATAATAAAATATTCCTTATTTATATTCACTTTCCTTTGGTCAACATACATATTGCAATCTGCTCACATAAACAAAATAACAAATCAAGTCCTCCTGAAGGATTTATAATAGCAAGTATTATAAACTCACCATCAGTTTTCTACTATTTATCGTGAGCACTATCTGCTGATAAATTTGATAAACTAAATTTTTGCAAGGCCAAAATAAATTTTCAATAGTAAGAAAGAACATTTTATAACTGTAACACTGAATTTTTAAATGTTAATGTAATTCAGACATCTTCAATATAAAAATATAAAATAAGGCTTTAATACTGCATAGGAATGGTATGCTTACCTGGCAATGCTAAGAAAGCCACATGAAGCTGTAGCATGAAGTGGTGTCCAACCTTCATTATCTCCTCGATTAACATCACACCCATGCTCAACAAGGAACTGAACCATTTCTAAATTATTGTCAATGCATGCCTACATAAAAATAAATAAATAAAATTTAAGATATAGTGCATAATACCAAGTAAACATTACTACAAAATAACTTCCACAGGCTACAAGTTAAACTACACAGCTAAACAATATGACTGCAAAATTTTATAATTAAAAAATAATACAAAAAATTTCTAGTCTTCAAAGCAGTTAAAACTACTGTGAATTACAAAAAGAAAAAAAAATCAACATTTATTTGACTTTAGTACAAGATTTTGGTAATTTCATGCCAGCTAGTTCAAAAGCACAAGCAAAATAATAATTCCAGTTTAATGCAGTTTGAATTACCTCTCGCTAAACCTCCACTGGGCTACTCTCTAGATGTTTAGTTCTCTTCCTAATCTACCACTTGATGGTATTATTACTGCAAGCGTTGCACTGGATAAAATTTCATACATAAATTTAAAAAATATTTGCTACAAGTAAAACATAAGATGTGAAACCACAAAAATGCCAAACAGCCAGCCCATTCACAGGATTTCAAACCTCAGACCACACCACACCACCAGCATTCAGCTAGCGACTGCTCGGCTACTAGTGTGCCTTGAATATAAAGAAATGAATTTCTAGAATCAGGCTAAATGCTGCAAAATCAATCACAGCCAGTAAAAGAAGTATTATTTACTGATGAGTTTTGCTATAATCTGAGTAGTGATTCTAGACATGTTTAATCTGGAGAGAAGAAGAAACACACAACTAGCTGTCCCTTGTTCACAAAATGTACTTTTCTTGCAACAGTAGTTTAATGGTTTGTGGAAGAAGCATGAGAAACGGTTGCATTGAGCTGCTTATCTTTCAAGGAGGTTCTGTAACCACTCAGAGATATGTAAGCGAAATATTACAACCCCAAGTTAGACTGTTAACTTTTCCATCACTTTTCAATTTCCATAAATTTGATTAATTTCAATATTTTACAAATAATCCAAATATTGTAATTTTTGTTAACTATGCTTTTGTACAAATTTCTATTAATAAATTTTCATCAAGTATCAGTTAGTTACATTTTATTTCTGTCATTATCCTTTCATTTCAATCAGTACAGTTCGTTCACTTTCTGTGGATGGTGGCTTGTTTATCATTCACGTGTTTACAGCTTCAATGGGTTTGAGAGAAACTGTTTTACCCCTCAAACTCTGCTGCTTTCCAAACAAAGCAGCAGAGTTTGAAGGCTCTAAGTTTCTTTCCAAACAAAGCTCGGAAATTTATTGAAAGCTTAGAAAGAAACTTAGAGAAGTAAAATTTCCTTATCTTAAGGATATGGGAAATAATCTTCTAGGGACATTGTAAATGGGTGTCTTCTTTCCTGGATACCAACTAACAAGATGCAACTTCTGCATTCCATCTTTAAAGTTTTACACATCCAAAATCCTCCCTTTGGGATACACACATTATGTTCACAGAAAGTTCTAAAATAATTTAATGAAATGCTCATTAACATTAATGTACACTAGCAGTCTTTGGATGTAAAGGAAATGACAACTGCAAGCTGAAGAAAAAGCAAAGAAAGCACTGGTCATGCCTGTAATAATGAAGTACAAGACTGAAATGAAAGACAAAATGTAATCTTTCTGCTGGCTAGAAACATGAGTTTTGAAATTGAATAGTTCATTGAAAGATGCATTCCTAAAAATTTGTTGTGCGGTTAACTTGTAATGAGCCCAAGTGGAAAAAACTTAAGCCTAAAAAAAAGTTAAAAGATCCTGACACTCTTGATAAGTGCAGCTAGAGAAAAAATGCTTTAAACTGGAAACTGTCAAAACACTGTGTCATTTACTTAATTGATGAACTAATAAAAATTGCAAATGTCTCACGAAAGTTAAAAAAAGACAGAAAAATGAGAGATGTTGAAACTACTCTTTCAGAACGGTTTCAAACTATAAAAATAAAACCTTATCCTGTTTCTAGAGCTCTTTTCACTATGACAGCTATGGAATTCATTAAAATCACCATAATTTTGGGGTGAAGTATTATACTTAAAATACATTGAAATGGTTCACCAGCTAATTCTGGATACAGAAAAGCAAGGATTTTTGTGGAATAGAGATTTCAATGTTCCTCCTCCTGACGAAGTGGCACTGAATTTCTCTTCTAATATGTTTGTTTTTCTTTAATTTTTTTAACTGGAGTATTGCTTGTTTGAAAAGTTTTGGTTTTTAACATTTTTTTTAAATTAGAATTATTTTAAATTTATTAATTATGAATTTCAATTTTTGGTCTTTGTGAAAAATTAGTTCTAAATTGCTTACTTTATGTCTTTACTGATAATTTTCAGCAGCTGAATGCGCAAAAATACTAGGCATGTTTATATTTTGTTTTTAAAAAATTGTTCTGCAATTAATATTTAATTATATGTTCCAGATATTATGTTCTTTGGCTAACTTCATTTTGTAATTTTCTTACACTTTTATATATATATAAAGAGTATGGAAGGAAAGCTTTAATTTAGCAAAATAATTTTAAATGCGGTAAAAATAAAATTAATAAATATTGCACATACTAGTGAAAGAGTAACTAATGAAAGTAATGAAATGTGTATGAATAAATTTAATACTGTACCATCAAATTAAGTAAAGCAAGACTAACTACAAACACTGATTAAACATTTGATTGAATCTCATAAAATTCTACAAATGCTTAGAATAGATCATGACAATTCAGCTCAAATAAAATTTAATAAGGAATATACTGACGATAACAGAGTGGGGGGATGAAATTTGCCCAACTTAAGCTTCATTAATTCAACAATGAAACTTAAACTGCACAAATTAACTTTATTGCTGAAGAATATTTTCAATAGTTAAGGCTAAAAACCGGGATATTCAGTGATCTACCAGGAGATCTGTCGAAAAACCGGGACTCTCCTAGCATAGCAGCTATGCTTCACTGATTTTACGGCAAAATACTGTATTCTTGAGAAAATTCTATCGCACAGCCACTGCAAGTAAATCCCACAAGGGCATAATTTAAAACAGTTTAAAACAAACAAAAATTTACATTATTTAGCAACAAAAACCGCTGAAACTTAGAATACGCCCAAAAGAATGCTTTAAAAAAATGAGGACGCTGCTTGTTAAAACTAAAGAACTGCTATGCGAACGTGTTTGCCAAAGTTTAATGCATTCTAAAAAAATATGGCGACTTTTATTAAGGTTGCGCTAACACTTTAAAAGTACTATGACATTTGGATGTACTTTTTCAATTATGTTAACCCTTTCGCACCAATCGTCACACATAGTACGTGCCAGCAAGAAACGTACTCATTTCCCGGCGTGCAAGAGCCAAGGAGGTTAGAATACATGGAGATGCCCTGCGCGCAGTCCAAGTGAAGCCAAAAAGGGGGGGAAAGCATGCCCTTAGTAGTCGTGGCTTTAGAAAGATTGACGAGCTCTTCAGCCAATGAGGCAGAACCTAGCCACACCCAGTTTCGTAAATTAAAGACCGTGGATTCTTCGCGCGCTTTTTCCTTCACTTTTTCCCGCCATTTCATTTTATTTCTACATTTTCTATCATCTTGTAGACGGCTGCAATATTGTTCCGAGAAGCAATTTTTATTCCTGCCAGAATGTTAAATTCCTGCGTTGCTTTCGGCTGTACAAATAAAGAAGAATAGCAGGATCCGGTATTACATTTCACAGGTAAATATTCTTTTAACATATATACTATCATTTATTTAATTATACTTTGCTCAAAGTTAGATAAAAATTTGCTGTGCATGTTTAAAACATATCCAAGGAAACGGCTGCAAGTGCTGATAATTGTATCAATTCTAATGATTATCAGGATATGAGCAATGCTCTTTAATTACCTTTATACTGTAAAATGAATGTTATGTTTTTCTCTGCACCTATATGCAAACAGTCATATATGGAAGCATTATAACTTCCCGCTAGTAATGATTAAGCATTTATATATGCATTTTTCTGACAAAATTCAAAGCATGTTATTTGGTAATAAATTTATGCTTCTAACTTTTACCTTTTTTTATATATTAGTACTTTTACAGAATCCAGTAATTTAATGCGGGGAAGATATGTGGCTATAGTTGCCTTACATGACCGAAATATAAATATGAGTTATAGTTAATTTGCTCATAATTTCTAAATTATTTATTTTAAAAAATCCAATTTTTGAAATAAATAACAAAAAGAATGTAACCTTGTTCATACATTTCATAATAAATCGGTTTTCCTAGAACTTTAAAATATAATTTGTATGATTTTATAATATTAAATTATTATTTGAAACCTATAAATAAATCATAGTTAAGTGGAAACAGTACTTTGTCTGCATATGACCAAAATAACTGAGGGTATAGTACAATAATTATAACTGGTTCTTGCACTTGTGTACCATAAATATTTTTATGTACCATATAAAAGAACCACTCTCTTCGGGTTCCCTTTAGTAATATCCATCCTGACAGAAATGTTAATTAAAAATTGTTGAATATTAATGCACATACACTGCTATTTGCTTAGGAGACAGATGCGTTTGTAGTTTGTAGGCCTTCTTAGAGTAACTGATTCATATTCATATACTATGTGAGATGTTAAGTTTAAATTATGTTGAATTATGTGAGAAGTTAGCATTAAACATTTTGTAAAATTATCCATATTTCAAAAGAATCAATCTTTAAGAATTTGACTATCTTAATTTTCAGAATGTTGAAAATTTTTTCCCCTCTTACAGGTTTTAGATCATGATTAAATTTATGATACTCACCAACATAGTTTGCTTTACTGTATTTAGAATGTTTTCACCAAAGATTGCTGTTCGAATGATTTTTTTGTCGTGGGGCTATATTTCACCCCTCCTAAAGCTACTATTGCTCACCATTGGCTCATTGATAATTGTTGTACTTACGCCAAGATTTAAAACTCAACATCTCACATACTGCATGAATATGAATTACATACCATAAAAAGGGCCTTCCACAAAGGCATCTGTCTCATAAGCAAATAGCTGTGTATGCTTTGCA